GGACAAGCATCTCAAGTCAATGCATTGAACAGATCTTCGACAGGATTGTAGACTGAAACCTCCATAAATTAAGGAAAGACGTACTCATACACATACAATGTATATCAAGGCTCTGATGCCCTTCCATCACCCAACACTGGGCCCAGACACACCCCATACCACCTATCATGGTTAAATGGAAAGACCCCCTCAATGGAATCTAGAAAGGACCAGATCCACTACTGACCACAGGGAGAGGATTTGCTTGTGTTTTTCCGCAGGATCAACCAAAGCCCATCTGGGTTCCAGCCAGAAATGTCCAACACCTCCCCACCCACAAAAAAGATGGCTCACATGACCCTGTCGGAGACAAAGAAAAGAAGAAGAGGCGATGACACGTGAGACCATGCAACTGGATCACATGGAAAGAAATTCATGATCTAGTGAATACCACCCACCAGAGCTGCCCCCCCCAGCTTCCTTTTCTGTCATCCTCAAGGCCATTTTTACCCTACTTAGCACCAACACTTCAGCCACCCCACCCCCCCAATACTATGCTCTGGAGAGTTTATGTCAGGGAAACATATCAAGGGAGAAACCAAATAATCAGAACCAAAGATTGCCCACTAGTGGGATGTCAAAAACCCATATAAATCATAATGTACCCAAATGCTAGCAGATACAAAACAGACAAATATGTTTGCTTTCCTTTCTGACAAACAGATCCATCATGCCTCAAGGAAGTCAATACCTATGGGGGCTGCCACTATTTCAATCCCTGCAGGTTGGAACAGGGGTTGACTGGGGGATATCATGACATAACAGGACAAGAAAGACCCATCTACCTGAAAGATAATAAGTATCTCTATGGATACCATGACTATCCCATAATATATGTTGCAGATCCTTGGCACGACCACTGGTGTATTGGGGTGACTGGCAAGTTCTACCCAGATACATCCTCTAGCTACCTTACTGCTGATTTTCATATCTTTCAACAGCTTGTACCCACAGCTAAGCCCATGCTAACTCATCATACCATTATTCTACAGGAAAAAAAAGAGGAGCAGATAAAATCAACAATGTCTTGGAGCCAATATATTCAATATGTTGCTGACTTTCTTCCCTTCACCACCCACCCTAACGCCTCTAACTGTTTCTTCTGTGCATCCGACAGTAGACCCCTACTGACAGTGGTACTGGTAAATACCACCCTTCTTTACCCTGAGACAAGAAAAAACGTCACCAACTCTCACAGGTCAGATATTTCCCTATTCAACCAGCTGTCCAACTATCCAATTTGCGTTTCCAGTAAAAATAAGCCTACTCATTGCAAATGCCTCACTAATGTTACTCTTTCCAGGTCAGCATGCTTCATATTCCTCTTTTTCTTTGCTGCAAAGGAAATGCCCAGCCTTGTATTAGCTCCTCTTTGTCCACCTTCTGTGTACCTGTAATGATGACCCCCCAAGTATACCTGTTTGAGGAAGAAGAAGTTGCCCTCCTCCTTCACACCTGCCCATGGAGAGAAATCTTCATCCCTCTGCTAGTGGGACTTGGACTCGTCCTCTCCCTGGGTGCCGGAGGCTCTGCGACTGCCACCATTGTACAGACCCATCACCTGGCAGGAGACTTTCAAGACAAGTTTGACCAAGCAATGGCATCCATGACTGACAGCCTGAGTCTCTCAATGACAGATGAACTCTCTTGCTGGGGTCATGCTCCAAAACAGGAGAGCACTAGACCTAATAACTGCTGAACATGGGTGGACTTGTATAGTATTGGGAGAAGAATGCTGCTTTTTTGTAAATGACTCAAATGTTGTCAAGTCTAATGTTAATATTCTCAAAAAACTTCATAATAACCTGTTTTCAAGATTTCAACCCACCAAACAATTAAATTGGTTTAATAACCTCTTGTTTTCTTGGCTCTTACCCTTTGTTAGCCCCCTGATTATGCTGAGTGTTATTTTGATGCTTGCTCCCTGTTTTATATGATTTCTTTGATGACAAATTACCACTGTTGTTAAAATTACTACGAATCAGGTCATGGTCTATTATCAGACCTTGGATTCTCCCAATATAGATAAATTGGCTCTTAAAGCTTGTGATGACACCTCTCCATTATAAAACAAAACAGGAGGAGATGTTGGGAGAACCTGCCGTGAAGGTACCAGTCCACAATGTCTGGATAGCTCTATGAGCTCGGCTCAAAATGGAGGATTCCCTTTCTCAGCAGGGGCTTCCTACTCTCTGCCTGACCTTATCTGGAAGATATCTCCAAGTACAGATGCCTGATCTTATTTGGAACATGACTGCGACAGACCAGCCCAGACCGGAGCAGTTCAGTCTGACAGGAGCAGGGTCCCCGTAAGGGTCCACAATGTCTGGATAGCTCTATGAGCTCGGCTCAAAATGGAGGATTCCCTTTCTCAGCAGGGGCTTCCTACTCTCTGCCTGACCTTATCTGGAAGATATCTCCAAGTACAGATGCCTGATCTTATTTGGAACATGACTGCGACAGACCAGCCCAGACCGGAGCAGTTCAGTCTGACAGGAGCAGGGTCCCCGTAAGGGTGGACAAGGATTCAGCAAATGACAAACAGACAAACACACAGAAGTTTGGTGAAGGTCTGAGTGTATTTTTGCACCTGCAGAGCTCAGATTATATACAGCAAAGATTGCAAAAGTTCATCATCAGCATGACTGTTCTGTAATTAGTCACTTCCTAAGATTTTCAGTAAAAGTGAAACAATTTTGCCAACCATCATGTATAGCCAAAACACATTTCTTTATCTTATCAACCTGGTACCAGTCAGCAAATTCTTGCTTTATGATACTGTGATTTCTACTACCTGCTTTTATTACACACTCAGAACTCTGCTTAGTTTTGTGATTTCATGTCAGGATGAAATTTCAGGTCAATTATGAAATAAGAACATTTAAGGAATTATCACACATAAACAATAAAATAAGACATCTTTCTCAAATGACTTGTAACATTTGACAGACCCCAGATACTAGGATATAAAATATAACATTTCCAGTTGGTATATACTAATCACAACATTTACTGAGTTTGATAAGGACACTTGTATAGAAATATATAGTGTATGCTGACTGTGTGCCACCCCCTCCCTAGGCTTCCACCCTCATTCCTTCCCCACTGCATTAGTCCTTTACTGACCTAAGAAGGCTTTGCTACTATTTTCTCATCATATGCCCATACAAGGTTTTATATATGGAAATAAAAGTTGAGATCCATGAATAAGGGAAAACAAATGAAATTTGCCTTTTTCCATTTGATATAATACACTTAACATGGGCATAAAGTCCACTTACATGCATTTTCTTGAAAATGACATAATTTTGTGCTTCTTTGTAACTTCTCTAATTTTTAAAAAGTTAAATCATGCAAACATAGGTAACACTTGAAATCTCAAGACTGTAGGAATGGATCCCCTCATATTAAAAAAAAAACAAACCTCAAATCCTGTCTTAGGTTGCCTCTCCTCAGGTTCTGAAGTTGCCCGTCCTTGGGTAACCATGATTGCCCTCATGGCCCCTGTCTTAGGTTCATCAGTCTGGGAGGGTCTTACCCGTCATTGGGATTAGTCATGCATGTGATTATCAGGGGTCTATCCCATAGAGGGCAAAACAGCCTCACATTTTTAGGCCAACTCAAGCATCCAGGCCTAGACTTGTCTAGGGGAGGGACCCGAGGGAGATTGACTGGACCAAGACTTTCTCTGTCTTGGCTTCTTGATGACTGAACAGAGACACCTGAGGAAGTATAGTATCAGATGACCAAGTTCTCAGGAAATCACCCATATCTAATTTCTCTTTAGGCGGGCCTAACAATCCAAGTAGGTACAAAACAATCTCTCTATGAAGAAAGAATAAGAATAATATTGCATCAATAAAGACAGGAACTAAAGTAGAACAGCCAAAGACACAGCATGCTCTTTTAACACAGCCATCTCCAGGAGGCATTCTTCCTTTGAAGTTTTCTCAGTCTCAACCTATGGAGAGTACCTCATGCAGGCTTCACTGGAGGTGGCATGACACATGACCTTTCACATAGTTCCCTGCAAATGTTGCCCCTGGTTTTCCCGTATGATAATTAGGCATTGCACTAGAACAAGTCAATCCCACCTCCCCTTTCTACATGATAGGGTCTTCCTTCCACATGCAAATAAAGTATACTGTGAACACCTATCAGGTAAAGCCTTGGCTGCTGTCCTCACCCTATATCTTCCCTCCAACCCCCCTGAATAAATGAGCTGTCTCACTGAAGCTGACTCCCGGAAGTTCTTTCTTTTGTACTCATGGCTGTCCTGACCCCATTCATCACTTCTGCTCCCTTTGTTCTCATGGATCCGTGGCCAATGGCCCACGAGAGAAGAGAGACCCACAGAACAACAAGTTCTGTTCTGTACCAGAAAAAGGAACTCCCCACAGCATATCACATTAGAAACACTACTAGACTACAAAATGCAGATTAACTCCAATTATATAATAGTAGTTGACTTCAATATTCCATTTCCCCCAAAAGACAGGTCACCTGAACAAAGAATAAACAATAAACTATGTGAATTAAAGATTATCATACACCAAATGGACCTAACATACATCTACAAAATATTCCATTCTAGCACCAAGGAATACACATTCTACTCAGCAGCCCATGGAAATTTCTCTAAAATAGAGCACATAATGGGGCACAAAACAGTCCTCAACAAATACAAAAAATTGAAATAATTCCATGTATTCTATTGAACAACAATTCAATAAAGCTTAAAGTCATCAGCAAAAGAAGCTCTAGTAACTACTCAAACTCATAAAAGCTAAAGAACACACTTCTAAATGATGAATGGGTCAAAGAAGAAACCAAAGAGGAAATAAAATATTCCTGGAACTAAATGAAAATGAAAACACAACATAACAAAACCTCTGGGACACATTAAAACCAGTCTTAAGGGGGAAGTTCATAACTCTAAGCACCTACATTAAAAAATCACTGCCTCCTGCAAAGGCATGTTTTTTGATTATCTATCCTTGGACATATAAGAATTGGAGGCAAAGAAATGTGGATTTGGTGAAGTCTGGGGCCAGCTTGCTCCACACAGGCTCAGGATCAACCATCCCAAATAGAATCAAAAAAACAAAAAAATCAAGAAACATCATAAAGAAATGACTCAATGGCATAACTCAAAAATCTGGAGAAACAAGAACAAACCAAACAGAAACCCAGCAGATGAGAAGGAATAATCAAATGGAAGTATAAATCAGTGAAACAGAAACAAAGAACTATGAAGAATTAATGAATCTAAGAATTCATTTTGGTTTTTCAAAAAGATTAGACAGACCCTTAGCCCAGCTAACCTAAAGAAATGAAGAGTAAATACAAATCAACAGAATCAGAGATGAAACACCAAATACCAAAGAAATACAGAACATAAGGGAATACTTCAAAAACTTATACTCTACTAAATTAGAAAATCTAAAAGAAATGGAAATTTTTCTAAATTCAGTAGATCCACCAAAGTTAAACTAAGAAAAAAATCAACAACTTAAACAGTCACATAACAAATAAGAAGATTGAAACAATACAAAGTCTCATGGCTGAAATAACACCCAGGTTCAGATGGATTCACAACTGAATTTTACCAGACCTTCAAAGCAGATCTACAATCAATACTACTTAAATTATTCAAGCAATAGAAACAGAGGGAGAACTCCTAAACTCTTTCTATGAAGTCAGTGCTACTCTAATGCTTAAATCAGATAAAGACACAATAAAAGAAAGCTGTAGTCCCATATTCCTAATGAACACAGGTACAAAATTTTCAATAAAATACTTGCAAGTTGCATACAGACACATAGCAAAAAGTACATCCACCATGAAAGATCAAGTTGGCTTTATTTCAGAGATGCAGGGATGGTTCAATATTTAAGTCAATAAATGCAATAAATCATATAAATAGAGTTTAAGACATAAATCACATGATCATCTGAATAGATGCAAAAAAAAAAAAAAAAAAAAAACCACCTTTGACAAAATCCAACATGCATTCATGATAAAAGTCCTAGAGGGAAGCATACTGGGAGAAACACTCCCATTCACAATAGCCTAAAAATATATAGGAATAACATAACCAAAGACATTAAAGACCTCTACAAAGAAAACTTTCAGTCTTTGAAGAAAGAAATTGAAGAAGACGTTAGTAGGCGTTAATCTCCTGTGCTCATGGATTGGTAGAATTAATACTGTGAAAATGACCATTCTATCAAAAACAAATTATGGATGCATTGCAATCCCAATCAAAATCCCCATAACATTTTTCACACAGAGATAGAAAAATCCATGCTAAAATTCATAGGGAGCCAGAAAAGACCTCAGATAGTCACAAAAGATCCCCAAACCATCCTGAGCACAAAAGTAATGCTGGAGAGATTACCATATGAGATTTAAATCTATATTACAGAGCCATAATCATAAATAGAGCCTGGTATTGGCACAAAAGCAGACATGTAGGTCAATGGGCCAAAACAGAAGACCAATGCATGAGTGCATGCAGTTTCAGCTCCTGATATTTGACAAAGGTGCCAAGAATGTACACTAAAGGAAAAACAACATCTTCAACAAATTGTGCTGGTAAAACTGGATTTTCACTTATAGAACAATGAAAGTAGACCTGTATATTTCACTATCCACAAAAATCAACTCCAAATGGATCAAAGATCTCGATTTAAAACCTGAAGCACTGAAACTATTAGAGAAAACATAGGTAGTACCCTACAAGATATAGGTGTGTGAAAGGACTTTCTAAATCAGAAATTAAAGGCAACAGTTGACAAATGGGACCTTATTAAACCAGAAAGCTTCTGTACAGCAAAAGAAAAGAAAGAAAAAGATAGAAAAAACTGAGCAAAGAAGAAGCCTACAGAGTAGAAGATCCTTACAAACTAAATGTCTGATAGAAGATTAATATTCAGAATATACAAAGAACTCAAAGAACACAAAGAATCAAGAAAAGAAATGACTTAGAAAATGGACTATGGATCTGAACAGAGAGTTCTCAAAACAAGAAATAAAAATGACAAAGAAATACCTTTAAAAGTATTAAACGTCCATAGTAAGTAGGGAAATCAGAACTACTTTAAGATTCCATCTTACACCAGGCAGAATGGCTAAGAGCAAGAGAACAAATGACATCAAATGCTGGTGAGCATGTGGGGAAAGAGGAACCCTCATTCACTGATAGTGGGATTGCAGAGTGGTAAAACCACTGTGGAAATCATCCAGGAAAGCTCTTTAAAAACTAAAAATAGATCTATCATATGATCTGGCTATACTACTCCTTGGCATATACCCAAAGGACTCAATATCCTACTAATGAGATACTTGCTTAGCTATGTTTGTTGCTGCTCTTTTCACAATAACTAGGAAATGAAACCATCTACATATCCCTTAAGCAACAAATGGATAATAAAAATGTCATAAGTTACACAATAGAGTTCTACTCAGTGGTCAAAAAAAAATCATGAAATTTGCAGGTACATGGATGGAACTAGAAACTGTTATACTAACTGAAGTAACAGACTCAGAAAAACAAGAGATGCATGTTCTCTTTCATTTTTGGATCCTAGATACAAATCCTTTAAGGTGAGCCTGTATCCTGCTATAACCTCAGGAGCAAGGAAAATGGAAAAGAATGGTGGTAATAAAGGGATAGAACGAGTTTCAGAGAGGTGGATATGAGACAGGTTTCAACAAGCAGAAATGGGAAAAATGGAGGACACTTTAACTGAGGAGGCAACAAGGAAGACTATACAAGGGGAAAGAGAGGAAAGAGAGATAAATTCTTTCTTTGATAAATTCTTGGTATTAAATCTTGAAGGAAATGTATTAGTTCAAAAGCCTACTGAAATACATATATGAGTGCATGTGTATAGCTGAAGGCTATATAACAAAAAAAATGGTGCCTGTAGGAGGAAGTGCTGACAGGCCTGGTAAACATGCTATAGCACATATGCAACAGTTACTTCCCCTTAAGCCAACCTGAAATCTGCCTGACCAGGGAGAAACAGCTGACACAAGAACACGTGACAAGAGAGATCACTGAGAAAGAGACAGCAGCATGGAGCAGCCAAGGGACCAATGGGACACCGGGAGGGGGAATAAAGGTATGCCCAATATCCGCAATAAACAAGTCTGCTTTGCCACTTGCCTGACTCCCAGAGTCTGTGTTGTTGACTCTGCACCTTCTTACCCCCACCCCAAGGGGTTCGAGAGTGGGTGGTGGCAACACCTGGCACCCAGTGTGGGGCTCCCCATGCTGGCATGAGCATTGACCTTCCTTGGGTTCTGGCCATCATTGTGGTAGCCGCTTTTCTCTTCTGGACCGTGTTCTTTGCACTTTTCTGCTGGCCGTGCATCGACCACTCAGGAGATCGGCCTTAGTTTCACTTCTCATACCAGAGAAGTCCCACTGAGTCCCCTTTTTCTTTGCAGCATGGTTTGGTGCCCCCATTCAGTGTACTTTTGGTAAGTTAGCCCCTTTGTGCTTTGTGTTTTGTGTTCTTTGCCCTCTCGAGAGGTAAGTGCGAGGGTCTCTCTCTCTCTCTCTCTCTCTCTCTCTCTCTCTCTCTCTTCGTTTGTCTTAGTGTTAGGAAGATACACTCTTTTGGTTTTGGTTCACCCGGCATCTCCACATAAGGGCTGACCCCCCAGGAGACGGAACCTGGAACATTCTCCCGAAAGACGCTCCCAGACTGGAGACACCGTGTGGGCATACTGCTGTGGCCTAACAAACCGCAGAAGTACCCCACTAAGCACAAGACATTTTGGTCTGACACACACTCTGTTTTGTCTGTCTAAGGTTCGCCAAAATGGGCAACCTTCCCTCTTACTGTAAGGAACCCAAGGTCCTAAAATCCCTCTTAGTTACCAGAGGGCTCAAGGTTAAGTCGGCTGAGTTGGAGGACTTTTGGAATGAGGCTGCAATCTTAGCCCCTTGGATAGCCCCAGAAAATATGTGGGAACCAGACTTATGGATCCAAGTCCTCTTTCTCACAAGAAAGCATGAGATAGGGTCGGGGTTATCCCTTCTGCTTCTTTTGTTCCCATCCTGCTCACTATTATAGCCGGTCTTAAGTCCTCCTCCCCAGAGGAGGTCATTGCCACCCACAACAAATACTGTCATGAGCAGGCTAATGCCAATCTGTCCATGGCCTGCCAGCGCTGGGTCTGTGACAGAGGCTACAGCTTTGTCCTCCGATGAGGAGGAGGATGATGGGGCTGTCACAATGGCGCCTGCAAAGCCTCCTTGCCTTTCACAGGCACATCTCCCACCTGCTATTGCTGCTAACCCTCCCCCTCAGTATCCCCCCCAAATATCCATGGTGTGAGTTGAGCACCACAGCCAGGTCATTTGACCGTGTGCCCCCACCACTGCCAGGTGCCCCCCTCATGGCCACCCTTGTGTCCGTTTGTGCCCACTGTGCCACCCCCCTTGGCTCCGGGACAATGCCCTGAGGTTTACCCCATCAACGTAGGGCCCAATGCAGCAAATCATCCCTGGATACCTACCCCTCTTACAGATCTCCCCTTGATTTAAAAGGCAGCTAATTAGTCAGGCCCAAATTCTCCCTATTTTAAGTAGGTCTTACACCAATGGGCCATTCAACTGCAAACCCATTATGATTGGTATCATCTTCTTAAAGCTGTCCTGGAGCCCTGTGCATTCCTTAACTGGTGCTCTGCCTATGATGACCAGTCCAAAACACAGGCTCAGCTCAATCTCCAATATGGCCTCAATATAACCCTGGATATGCTTATGGGTCATGGTCAGTACATCAACCCCGTTTCCCAGTCTACCATAGCTGCCTATGCTTACTTTCAACAGGTATCAGATCTGGCCTTCAAGGCCCTTAAAGCATATACCCCAAGGGACCCGTCTGTGTACTTTTGCAATCTCATCCAACAATCCAGGGAATCTTTCACTGACTTTCTTACAAGAGTTACAGAGGCAGTTGAACGTAGGATCAATCCTGGCCCTAAACAAGATATGTTTATCAAACAATTAACCTGGGAAGGCCTCAGTGCCCCCACTCATAATGTGGTGGCAGCTGTCCACAATGATGATATC